AAAAACAAGATTCAATCCAACAAAATAGCGGCTGCTTTACAAAGAGCGTAGGAATATCCGAGCACCGTCGCTTGTTGTCGTTTCTTAAAGAGCTTGAAACGCGCTTTAAAACAGACCTTAATGTCTAATTGCGTCCTTTCAATCTATTGTCAGTCAATAATTTTGCTTGTTTTTGTTTCTTTTCACTTGCAGGGGCAAGTGTACTTGTAATCGAAAACTAGACTTTTTTCCCGTGAACAAATTGCTGCGGCAGATTATACTGCTGCTGCAGAAAATAATACTAACAAAATGCTGTGCTTTCAACGGCAGTATGCGCTGACATGCTCAACTTCTTTGAATTCAAATAAAACTACCTTGTAGTTTATTGGAGGTACAACATAATTTCTTCAAATAAACTCGGTGAAGAAAACATTTGGGATTCGTGGCTTTCGTCCTATTTTCGTTCGGCTCATTTTCCTTTTTGCAATGTAGATTTGATTATTTGGTACGCTTTTTAGCAGCCTTATTTTCTAAGACGGTTTTTCATTTTGATTTAAACCGTTTATATTTAATCGAAAATTGTTTTGTAATTTGTTGAATTCTGATTTTGAATTATTTTCTTTCTTTTCTGTTGTTTTAATCTTATTTTTTTTCGGTATTACAAGCACTGTTTCGAAATTAAGAAAATTTTATGCTTTTGGGGGGATGGGTCGTAAAAATTTTCAGTTTTAAAACAGACAAGAGTTGGGTTTCGGCTTATCGGGGTTCGACCTTTTAATGAGAGGTTAGGGTAACTGACTCATGGCCGTTTTGTGGCTTCTGTTCACGATGAACAGGATAGCCTCTGTGAATAATATTGCTCCCAATTACCTACGAGCTTGCGTAAAAGTATTTGAGACCACCATGAAAAACCCCATCAGTGGCAGTGATCGAAAAAATACGGGTAGCTAGATTAATCATTTCTGACAGCGCAGGTGCAGTTGAAAAATGTGCGTGCTTTTCATCAGTGTTGTATGTTTTTTAAAAAGTATTATAAAGTTTCTATGGTTGTTTTTCGAATGAATAATTTCAAGATTTCAGCTTTTTTACGATAAAAATACAAAATAAATACTACAAACATAACTAATACAAACTTGAGAACCACTTTCAAAAACTTCTTAGAAATTTTTCCTCTGAGATTTTTAAGCTCACAGAAATACCACTTTATCCGTGATTTTTTCAAATAATTTGTCAGTTTTCGACTTTATATTTTTCAAGGCTTCAATAATCGTAATCTACACATTCATACTGACGTAATTTTCTATCAGTTATCTGCTCTTTCATTTTTGAGCTTTTTCAAGAGTTGATGAGCGTAGTTTTGACTCTTAAATAGTTCGAAATTAGTTTTTTTTTCAGCAAAAGCCTTAAAATTTGTTCAGGCTCAAATTTGAGCTTTCGCTGTTTGACTTCTGATTTTCTTTTAAGTTCAGTTAATTTTTTTGTTAAAAGTAAAGCAAACTCAGCCGTCACATAAAACTAACACATAAAAGTGTTAAAGTAGCAAAAACATGATCGAATTCTAGTTTTGAAAGTGATTTTTAATTGCAGATAAAAATATACTTACTGGTCCAGTTTTCTCAAATTGTTAACTATATCAAAAAGTGCTAATCATAATACGGTCTAGAAATTCAGAAAGCTTTAAAAGCATTCAGTTTTTTTTAAATTCAAAAGTTGAGATTTTTATCAAAAAATAAACAGGCCAGTATTTTTTTTGTTTACTTGCCTTACTTGACTCTTTCTGTTGGTTATGTTGCTCAAGTATCTAATTTAATGTAACCGATGTTGAAGTATCGCAATTATGGGCTCACAAAGCAGAAGTAAAGTCCGTTAAAACATACACTTACGCAAATATATGAAATTTTTGTGAGTAATCTGTTTCAAAACTTCCTCATAAAAAAGTTTATTCTGATTTTAAAAACTGATAATTCCAATAACAGCTTTTCTTAGATTTTTTTGGATCAAATGGAAATTCAAAATCAGTCAGAAACATAACAAGGCTGCTGCTCGTATCAGGGCGAAGCTATGATTGTACTGAATGCCCAATATCCTGTCTATGAAATCATTTTCGATTTAAAATTTTCCTGCCAAACTAAAAGAAAGTTGTTTTTTTAAAAAAAAATCTCAACACGTCATGAAAAGGAAAAAGTGATGTATTTACCGTCAAGTACTGAATTTATAGGATCAAAAAGCTTGCCTCATTTGAGGGAAAGTTCTTTTGTGCCGAATTAACTCGCTGCTTTTGCGTTAGAAGCACACGATATATATTGCTCATCAATTATCTCAAGTTGGTCTTTTTTGATTTTGTAAAATTTAATTAAACATGATCATAGAATTTAAAAGTTGTTATTCCGACTTTAGAAGATGATGCGAATATTTTTCCTTGGGTTGGTTTTTTCTTCAGTCAAATTTTCGATTTTTTAGCTAACATTTTGATGAAATTTTTTGTACCATTACAGAAACTGTTTTTTTTGAGCTCGAGTTTAAAAAAATGCTTCCCGCAGGATCATTTTTTTTGTAAAACTAGGGGGTTTGCAAATTGCTTATTTGGCCAATTCGGTATAATTAATTAGCGATTCATTGCGTTCTGATAACACGCGTAAGCGGCGAATTAATGAGTCTCAAATTGAACTTAGGCCACCAGTTTTTCGAGTTAAAAAATACGCTTTGTAATTTCAATAACGTGTGGGGGACAAAATGAAGAAAAAAAAACTTTTTTTTTCCGCTGGTTTTGTCATTTGTTTTTTTTTAGTGACCTTAAAGTGCTCTGGAATCATTGGAGCCTCTGCTCTGATATACGCGCAGTCTTGTTTCAAATTAGAATGATTTTTGAGCCGGATTAAATTGCTGCTCACCCGTTATTAGCACATAATATATATTGCGTGGTATTTAATCCACATTGACAATTTTCAAATCTATAACTTTTTTTGGATTCTCTGAAACTTACAAAAAATGCCTGAAGAAAAAACCACACCGTTCACCGATTTTCCAATTGTCTCTTAGAAAGTCGGGACAAAAATGCACAGGTAAAATTAGTTTCTCCTCTGAAAATCGGCTGAAAAGTTTTTTTTTTATCAGATCAAATTGCTCATCTTATTTTTCCTCCTCTCCCTCCTCCAACATTCCGTCTAAGCTTCTTGGACAGCAACCAGCTCTTGTAGTCCCGTCTCGTAAGGGGTCATGTAAGCATTATGCTAAGGGCATACTGACCGTGATTCGGATTACAAGACAAAAATGAAAAAAATGATTTTGTGTCGACATAAACTGGTCTGATTTTTTTTTGGTTTTTAGATCAAATTAGACAACTGATTAAAAGCTGATCTTCCGCTACAGTTTTAACGTTATTTTAGTCTTTCATTTTGAACGTTTTTCTTAGAGGTTACGACTGGCTGTCCCTGTTCAAAGTAGAGTTTTGTCGACGAAAAAATGACAAACCGAGCGCAAATATTCCGTCATTTTCATCAATAGACTGAACGAAATTTCAAAAATCTTAACTTTTTTTGCCACTTATTTGATTGTCTTCTTGACCGAGTGCCTGAGAAAATCACAAAAGCGAACTCTGAAGTGTGAACATGAATTTGATGAAGGGAATATAAATGACTACGCGAACCAATAGCATTCAATGATAATAAACCATGTATGTCATGATAACAGCAATTTTTTCATATCTGTGATATTTTTGTTAAAATATACTCATTTTATAGTTCCTTTTTGCATCCAGATTTATTTTGGTTGCTGAAACGTTCCTCTGAAATCGTAAGCTTTCACTTTTCTCTCTGGTCATCAAGTGAGTTGAGTTTTTTAGTTATATTCCAGCGGTTCAATTATAGACCGCAAACGTACTAGTCTTTAAAAATAAGGCTCCCCTCAAAACCAATTTATGTCTTTTTTAATCCCTCAAAAGAAAATATAATATTGGCGTTCATTGTTGCGTTTGAAATCTTTTTCGCTCTCCTTCTAAATTAATCCGGATTTAATTTTTTTTCTCTTTGTGTTTTTTTAGTAATACTGCCTTCACATTTTTGAGACCTCAGCGGTAATAGTAAATATGTGGTTTCAATTTAATATTACTTTTATTTCGACTTCTGTTTTTGCGCCGTGTGTTTCGATTGTTTAGCTCCCGTTGTTTGTATCTATTCGTTTTTTCCTGAATTCATTTTTTTTTCAGAAATCAACTGTAGCTCAATTGAAACCAGTCAATGTGTACACATTACCAGTTATTCCAGTTTTATTAACTCAGGGAATATTGTTTACAGTTCAGTCGGAAATTGTTGGAATTATTTTTTTGTAAAAGATCAAAACACAACGACGACTGGATTTCATTATCTTCGCTTTTTATTTAAATGGGTAAGTTAAACTAGAAGTCACAGTCCTGTGAATTAAAAGGTTCCAACGACAAGAATCCCCGAAAAAAAATCAAACAAAGTTTCCAAATGTTTTGATTTTTTGTCTTCGTAGAGGTTTAGTTACTGTCAATTTATGTCTGATATGAAAACACTTACGTGAAATTTTTTTTCCATTATCTAGTTCTGACCTTACAGAAAGTTTCATCTCAACAAATTTTTACTCTAAAAAATGGTAAAAGTAAAACAAGTCCAAACAAATTTTTTTCTTGACCATCATAAGGAACTTTCCAATATATCTTTGATTCATTTGATATCTGTTTGATATCCGAGAAACAGACTCATTTTTCAAACGATAATCGTTGCAAACAGAAAAATCTGTTGCAAATGACCTTGCTTGTTATGAAACTTCAATCAGTTTTTCATTTAGTAGTAAAGCCGGATCCTAAGATTTGAGGTACGAGGTCCCAGCAGTACCTTGTTTTTCTTCGATGTGTATTGAAATGGATTTTGTTTTTCATGGAAAATTTTGAATAGTCAGAATAACGCTCATCGTTTTTTTGCTAATTAACTTTACAAAACAAATTTTTGGACTAGACTTTTTTACTACATTTGAAATTCGTTCTACAATTTTACCAACCCTGATTTTAAATGATTTTTCTTTTTCGTTTTCCCCTGCTGAAATGGTTTTTAAATGTTAGTATTTTTTTCTTCATCACAAATTCAGCGAAGATGCGCTTTTCCTCTGACTAGATATCCATACTACCTTTGAAGTTCTTGATTTTTTCAAATTATAGTTACAAAAAAAAACAGTTTAATTAAATTTGAAGATGACTTGAAAAAGCAGAAACTTTGTATGTTTTTGTGGAAATTGGCAACGAAGTCGCAAAACTATGAGCATTGGTGGTCGTGTAATCGAGAACTAGACTTTTTTTCTCGTAAACATCTTTTCTTAAACCTGAAAATGAAATTGAAGTTACTTATTAGTGAACTTTAGCAACTTCGAGTCTGCATACCACTTGGCCTAGAAGTTATGCGGTTGTCTGTGTACCCTATGGTCTGGGGTTCGAGTTCCGTCCAGACCTTGTTTTTTCAGTATTTATTAAATTAAGAAAAAATAATCCGGGAAAAATCGAACTGTCAGACATTTGTTGGTCTGCTGATGTTTTAACGGCTTAGTTGCCATATTGTAGATTTTTTATGCGGCCAGCAGTTTTAGTTGAAAATTCAAATGTTTTTAATGTATTCCTGTAATTTAAAAAGTTTCTATTCCTGACTGTGAATGTTTTTTCTTTTTGTTTGGCTTTTTGTTTGTTGCTGAATTTCTTTGTTCTGTATCGCCTCAGGGGCAAAAAAATCAAGTAGTTTGTCTACAAAAGATAAAATTTCTGAAACTTGAGTTTTCAAATCAATGAGTTGCTTAGAGAGGCTGTATTTGGCTCAATGAACGCATTGTCGGCTTAGTGGCCGTTCCTTTAAATTTAAAGACTTATTTAATGCGGTTTTTTTGTTTCTTGACTAGTTTTCTGAATTATTTCTCATTTTGTCCAAAAAGTATATATATTTTTGATTATGTTATTTTCGTCTTAATGTTTATTCGCTAGCTTGCAAGGCTGTGCTTGCGTTATATCGCAAGTGATGCAAATCTCCGCTTTGTCTCCGTGTTGATTGCGAGGCGAAAACTTTAATTTTATAGGTTTGTTTTCCCGGCATATCTTTTTTTTGCTCATTATTTACACTTGCGAACTTTAGTGAGGTACTGTTATAGTACGACTATTCTTTTTCTAACCTAAGTCGCAATTATTAGTGCCACTTTTGTGGCATCTTTGGAGCTTTTTGATAGCATGTGCTTTGAAATTCGATTTTTTATAAGTTGACACAGTTGATGCAGTTCTCATTGTTCAAATGAACCGAAAAAGCTATTTGCTTCAAATATCAGTACAAAAATAGAAACTCGGTTTCAGAAAATTTTCAACTCAATGTATCTCGCAATACTTTTCAATGTTTTTGAAATGCTTAAATTGCACATGAGTTGGTTTTATGCTTTCGAATTTGTTTAATGTAAAATTAGCGTGGAAGCCTTCAATTTGTTATATTCCAAATTATTACAAACCAAATTGTGTCTATTTGTATTTGTCGCCAATTTTGCTGCATAGCATTGGCAATTGATTAGCACGTGTAGCTGCTTTATTCGTGACTACTGTTTGTGGTTGTTAAGAGTTCGTGGTTGAGTGGGCAGGGTGTGAGACTCCAAATCTTGTGTTAGAAGGTTCGAATCCGATAGATAGCAAGGTCTTACTAATTCGAGGCTTATTTCTCTTTTTTATTTTTTCACTTTATAAAGCTGCTTTTTGTCGTGTTCTCGCACAAATGTTTGCGAAGCTCAGCTTTGCCTCTTAGAAACTTACTTGTCATGGTCCTTGTTTTTTTTAGTTATCATGGGCTTTTATTTTTTTTCATTGTTGTGAGTTTCTGAGTGGGCAGGGTGGGTCTGAAATATGAATTAGCATTTTAATCTAAACTAATTGTATTTAGTTTTTTGATGTATTTTAAACCAAAAAAAATTGCGGGCTGCGCCAAATTGAGTTGCAGATTACTAGTGGAAAACCATTTTTGGGTTTTTTTATTTAGTTGATTGGCCCAAAACAATGTTAATTTGCCGCATTACAAATTATACGTGATTTGAATGTTTTCGGCCAAACAAATATCTAAGGTGGAGCAGTCTAATTTATTTAATAAATCTCATTCAATGAAAAAGTCTGTGACGCGGTCGCATTGAAATTTGATTCTTTGTTCTGAATTAGAAACAACTGGCAAAAACAAAAATAGACCAAAATTGCACCATTGGTCCTCGCCTCTGATCAGTTGGATAAATGAATTTTGATGGTATTAATCCGACTAAGTACATCCTGGGGAATAATATCCCAATGACAATTTAATACCTTCCCTCTGTCCGCCCTTTTCTTACCATTCTGTATCAATTTTCCTGCTCTTCCCAGTTTTGGCCTCATTTCATTCACACCTCCACCTGTGTTCACGTGCATTCACGTAGCATTAAAGCGAAAGTCTATTTAATCAGACCGCAAAGAAGTGTTCCTATTGGTCAATTGAGTTGCCTGAAATTAATATGAAAATAAAAGGAAGCACAGTTCTATCAATGGAAAAAGAAATTGCAAAAGAAAATCGAATAAAAGCAGTCTTTTTTATTTAGTGCTAAATCAAAAGCGGTATTGATAACCAGCTTTTTCGGACATTATTGATCCAGTCATATTTTTTCATTCATCATTGTACTGGAAAGTTAACTGCTAGACCTTTCTGCATATTCGAATTGTTTTCGATTCTTCCAGCAACGGAAAATTGGCAAGTTATTTTTTATTATAGGTTATTATATGTTATTTAATTTGATTTTTTTTAGAAAACACTTTTCTTGGTATATCAAAAATTTTGTAAGAAAATTGAAGCTTGGTTATTTCACAAAAAAAATATTCTTGAATACAGAAAGGGTAAATTTGTAAATCCAGGGTATTGTTTGTTTGGTTATTTTCGTTTTCAAGCTAATTTTGAATCTATTCTTTTCTTTACCTTAACTCGCAGTTTTGGCCTAATCGAATTGTGTGCCTCTTCAAGTAGTCCAATTTTTTGGCATTGAGAAGTCCTTCTCCGGTCAATTTCCCCCAGGCGTCAGATAATCAAGTTATAACCAAGAGTCACTTCTGTTACGCCATTCAGATGTCGTTTCTAAACAATTAGCTTTCCGGAATTTGCTTCTCAATTAGTTCATGCGTGACATTTTCTTATGTCGCGACGTTTTCTTTGGGTCGCGGTGACTCTTTTTCAGTCGCGCCGGTCTAGAATTGCCATAAATATTTCAGATATGGTTTTCAGATATTGCACGATTACAAATTCAACTCATATCTTGTTTTTAAGTGTTTCTGAAAGAGTTGGATAAACAATAAATGATCTTTTTAAAAAAAAAATTTTTAGACTTTTTTCTTTCAGTGTTCTCTACTCAGTTGCTTTGTGATTGACAATAAACCTAATTTTCGCGTAAAATTTCTTGTTGAAGCCTTGTTTGTGAGCTTAAGTGAAATAATGGTAGACGGTGGTATGCATGTAGCAAAGAATTCTGAGACCAAAGCAGCAAAAGTTGGTAAAAAACAACATTCGCTCTCACACATTCATTTGATCTGAAAATAGAATTATTTTGAACAACTTTTCTCATCGCTGAAATTGCTTTTTCAACTCAGTATGTTTGTTATTTAATTCGACCTATCTGTGTTTTTGCATTATTGCTCCGACTTTCGTCTAAATGCGGAATATTTATGTTTGGGGTGGTTTTTTATCCAGTGAAATTTTTGTTGATCGAAATAACAATTTTTTCCAGTTATGTTCGGTTATACCCCTTTAATGATGAAAAATGATTTTAAAAGTTTTTGGAACCAAATTGGATTGATGTAACAAGGAAATGCAAGATATTAAAAGGGAGCTGGTCAAAATATAGCATTTTTACTTTTTACTCATAAATGGCCTGCAGCGAATGATTACCAAACACTTTTTGTTTTTCTGTTTCGGAAGAATGCGCAATATTTTTATGCTTGTTGATTTTTACTTATGTTGAGCTTGAGCAAAATCATTTTTAAGCTTTAAGACTATTTATCCACGAGGGAAAGGACCAACATACGAACCGCTGTTGTGCCCTTGCTTAAGAACTACATGCAGCTTTTCTGTTATTTTTCTGGGCTGGGTAATGTTGCTTCACCCTCAAGCAACGAGCACAGATCATGGTGGGCCTCGAACATCCGACCTTTCGATTAATAAGCGGAGACGTAAACGCTTCACCACCGCTCTTCTTTTAAAGTTTTCATGCTTTTAACTAAATTTTTTGCAAATTTGTTTGATTTTCCCACATATTATCGGGAAGTAATTTTGGGTTCTGGTTTTTCCACGCAAAATTTTCCCCAAATATGGTCGAGATGGTGTCCAATGGTATGTAATATCATACAAAGACATTTAAAAAATAATTCCCTGTGTTGAGCAAAGCACGATAAAACTGTTCGCTTTTAGTGTTATTTTAAGTTAAATTGCACCAATCAAACAATTGACAAAACTTTCCGTTTTCGAACACGACCATATTTGCCATTACAAGATAATTCCAAAACTTTGAGTTTTGCGGTTTTCTCAATCTACTTACGACTTCAGGTGTCTTAATTGCCCACTAATGTTTTAATGAAAGCTTAGCAAAGAGAAATATGAACTTTAAATTGTAGGTCGATTGAACTCTTACTAATTTGAGAACCTTCACTTAACACTTGAGATTATCAGTCAAAGCGCTCTCATGCGCACTTAATTTTTTTTTCTGTTTTAACTATTTTCACTGTTTTAAAAAGATAATGCTCAGAAATTAATTACCAATATTGTTTGAACTTTGTTCGAAACAAACGTCGAAAGTCTTATAACAAGCCTGAAAATGGATTGAAATGGAATTTTTTGTTTAGTTCCTTTAAATCATTGGTCCGGTCCGTTCAAATTTGATAAGTGTGGACATAGAGATTCTAAACACAATTTTTATTTTTATTTGCTCCAAAGGAAAAATGGTCTCGACAAAAATTGTAAATCAGTCAGTTTTATGGAGATCATTTCACCTGCTGTCGATTATTCTGCAATTGGCTATTTTTCCTCAAGAATAAGTGCTCAATTTCAGCAGCATTTCCTGAAATTCAGAATCAATTTCGTTGCTTGTCCTATAAATCTTATGGGGCTGTAAAATGTGTAAAATGTTGCGGCTGTGAGACAAAAACACTTATCAATGCTTTTGTTCATGCCGCTGAAAAAGCCTTTATTGCGACGCATTCTAATTTTAATTCACCACAAAGATATAAAAAAGATAATGACCGGTCGCAAATCATTCGGAAAAATTAGTCATCTTGATTTGTTTCAGTTGCAGATCATTTCATCTGTGTCGCTGCCACGATTTCATCATGGACATGGGTAATGGATCAAAAGTTTTAAAAATTTGTAAATTACCGAAAAATTTTCACTGCTTTAAATAATTTATTCGTTTCGCTGTTGAGATGTTACATGCCTCAGTTTCATTTATTGGATGATTATAACCTTCCAAGTTCAATTCTAAACGTTGACTCTTTCTGAAAAAGAAAGGAAAGTTATTTGTTTTTATTTCATTTTTTATTAAGCTTCCTGTTTTATTTGATAAATGATAAGGATGGTCAATAAAGGTGACTTTGTGGTTTGATAACCAAATCAGTCTTATTTCCATTCCCTCCTCAACTTCTTCATATATTTCACTTTACTCTTTGCACCTCTTAAGGACCACCTCTCTGGATATCGATTTGGAAAAAACAATCCACCCTCACTTCCGTGGCCTTTTGCGCCCACCCATCTAACTGGAATGAAAATAATATTCTAAAGTACCCCCAGTAAGTTATAACCTTACTAACTAGCCCTCTTGCATTATTCATATTATTCATCGTTTAATCGATAAAGTCAAGTTAGAATAATATAGAATAACATTATTAAAACGGCAGCAGCAATTGAATAAAGGGTTCACCATTGCAGATACTTACACTCGTAAATCAAGGCAAATCATATAAGGGTGAAGTGTCTTATTTCTACATTTTGTTAATTCAGAATTTGGCATGTATCATTTTGAATTTGGGTAAATATCACTACAAAAAAAGAACTGAATGCTTCACTAGGTTTAATTTGATTTCCTATTTTTGACTTCACTCGAGCAAATCTGAAGAAAATTTTGCCTTCCGAATTGCCTCGTGTGTTTTCCCAGCCAGCTGTCAGGCAATTTCCGTCCAACTTTGAATCCAACTTGCAACAACCGACGTGCGTGAAATTACAATCTGATCACTACATCTAACTTTTCCTCATTTTACCCAGAATTTCCCTCATAGTCTTTTTAAACCCTTGGACCGTTGCGATACAAAGCATTTAGAGATAAACTTTTGATGTTCGTAAAATTTCAAAGTTTTGGTTAATATGAGACTATTAGTAGTGTCTTTGAAATGTGTGTTTTGATTTAGAGCAGATGCACTTTTTTAATGGCTGAGTCCGAAGGGGGAAACTCAATGTATTAATCAGCGACGCGTCTCTCCCGCAATCCTGGATCAAAGCTCCCCAATTTTATTGTTTTTTACTCCCCATAATTTATTCACAAGTCTCCCTCAGTACTCAAATTGCCTCGTGTGCATTTACCTGGTGGATACTGTTTCAACATAACAGGTTCTACAATTGCAAATAAATTCAGAAGTCTTAAGTTCAACTTGAAACTGCAAAAAAGCAAAGTTACCGTAGCTTTGAAAAAAGTAGCTTATACTGTTACCTCTCTCCGTTAATTCTCAAATTGCGACTACTTGCACTTTTATTCCGCCAGAGGTAATACTACCTTCCTTTACGCGTATCCGGCAAGTACTCTTGTGTTACTTCTGGGCTTTCCTGGCCATTACTGGATGCTAATTAGACCAGAGTTGATCTAGACCTTACCAGATTAATTATAGCATTCGTATTTTCTCCATCCTTCTTGGTGCTTATACCATTTTGGCTGCTTACCATAACTCAATTTTAAAACTAGCATATCTGCTAAATTATTATTCTCAGCTGAACTCGGTTCGAAATACATTCAATTATTGTTGAAAATTAACTCATTATAGTTCAAGCTTGTCTCTTTTCAAAAACCCTAAAAATGGGGCTTACAAATATTTGCGGTGCAATATTTCGTTTTAATACAAAGTGTACAGAAACAGAATCAAGGCCTTATTTCGTTCGACCTTCCGTATTTGGCAGTTTTCTGGCTCTGTTTTTCTTGGTCCAGACTGTTCACTGCGAAATTCGGGCTCAAATTGAAGAAAACAACGCTGTGGGATCATGGGTAGCATCTGTTAGCTCACTATCTGTCAACTGCAATGGAAAACTCAAAGTAAGATAAAATAAAATCATAAAAATGTCTAAAATTAAAGCGATCAAAATCTGTCAGAAATGTACAATTTAGCTTATGCGTCCGAAATATCATCCAGTAAGTGTTAGGGGCAGATTCAGATTTTTCAAAAAATGCCGAGCTTTTGTAAGGCTGACTAAATTGATTTTCCGAGCTCTCTCAAAACACTATAAAGAATTTATATTGCAAAATTTTTCTGCTTTGCAGGCTAATTAAAGAAAAACAGACCAAAACAGGCTGCTGCGTATACATATTGAATAAAGATAGCATGTTGCTGTGCAAGTAGCTCATAATGTTCCCACCATTTTGATTTTTAAAAAAACGTTTGAAAAATCGTTTTTTTTTCCTACAAATTTCCATTTTTTTCTTATCCTCAAAAAGTACATTGTAATTATGTTGGAAAATGCAAGAAAAAGTTGCTACTGAAGCTAAGGAAAAAGTTGCTATTAAAGCTAAGGAAAAAGTAAGATAAAGCGCTGAGTTTTGGGTAGAATTAAAATTGGGAGGTCAGCTTATCATCAATTTTCGTCTAATTTAGTCTGAGAAACGAAAAAAAAAGCTTCAGTTCAATTTTTGTCGAATCAAGTTTCGTCTAATTTAGACTGGAAAAAATCAGACCATTTTGTCTCAACACTAACTGAAATTAAGACAAATTTTTTTATAATGTTTAACCGGTTCGTGTGTAAATCAAATCAAGTTCTTATTACCCTCGCGATAAACAAGGGTAATGTAATCGGGTACTAGACTTTTTTCCGTAAATAACTTTATTCACAGCATGACTGAAATTGTGGTCAACTCTATCTCTACTTTCTTCAACGAACAGACAGATAGAAAGCATATAATTTTTGAGCATGTCTGCATTAAAAATGGCCGTTCTTTTTCGACATTTTTTAAGCCGCATGTAATTTTACCTCCGATTTCAGTATGTCAGTTTTTTTCGTTTTATTATTTTTTTAAACTCCGATTTCAGTATGTCAATTTTTTTGTTTTTTTTTATTTTCATTTTTTTTCTTTTTATTCGTTTTAAAAGAAATAGGTTTATAGTATATCGATTTGGAAGATTTTTTTAAGTCGTGGTTAACTCTATCTGTGGTCAACTTGAAATTGTGGTCAACTCTGTCGCTACTTTCTTCAACGAACAGACAGATAGAAAACATATAATTTTTGGCATGTCTATTAAAAATGGCCGTTCTATTTCGAAATTTTTTAAGCCGCATGTAATTTTACCTCCGATTTCAGTATGTCAGTTTTTTTCGTTTTTATTATTTTTTAAACTCCGATTTCAGTATGTCAATTTTTTTGTTTTTATGATCACTTTTTCTTTTTATTCGTTTTAAAAGAAATAGGTTTATAGTATATCGATATGGAAGATTTTTTTAAGTCGTTGAGGTGCAAAAGAATTTTATCAAAGTGTTTTGACAGGGATTTAAATCTTTTTGAGTTTTCAGGGATTTAAAAGTAGAAAAAAAAAATTTTTTTTTTTCAAATCGCAACATGTCTGCTCAAGAGTTTTTGGCTTTGTTAACCTTTTATAAATTTAGTTTTAATGCTTAATGAACATTCAATTGTGCTACTTTTTTCTGGAAAGGAATTTTTCATTCAAGACAAATGTTGACAATTTTTGGTAGATTAATTTTTACGATCTTCTCTACGGCTTTTATCTCTGTTTTTGTTGGCAAGTTTGTCGTGCTATGGCTATATATGGGTTTTTTCGCCATTGCTAAAAGTGCTGGTAAATCAGTTTCAAGATTTCGGGTTCGCTGCGAATTTCATAATTGTTTTTTAGAAAAAATTTAGAAGTTTTTTTTGATTTGTTGGTTTATCTGTAAGTAGTAAGAGTAATTCATTTGTCTATCACAATAAGTGCCTCTGGGTAATCATTTTACATCACGCAAGCGAGAACTCATAATCTTGTAGAAACCTTAAAAAATTTTGAGTTCAGAGCTGGATTTGAGGTGAATTCAAAAACCTATAAAAGTTAAAAAAACGTTTTGAACTCGGTATTGCAATTAAAGGATTTTTTTAAAGGTTTTGTTTTCCTATACCATGCAAAGTTTAGCTGGCGACGTATAAAATATGCATTTCGACAAAACATCTGAATATGTAGTTTCGTTTTATTTTTTTCTCCATTAATTAAACTAGTTGTCAAAAGAACTTGTCTACTCTCACAAACATTGTTGCAAACACTAAAACTCAAATCCATCCATCTTGAAAAATATTTTCAAAAACATAAAAGTATCTCCCAAAACTTTTTCTTATGCACTTCTGTAATTTTCGCTGTTGTCTGAAATTTTGAGGGAAACATATTTAAGCAGTCTCTGATCCCATCTTGCACTTTAAAACTATGCTAATTTCTAATATATGAAATATCCAAAACATCAAAATGTTTCGTGAGAATTTATTTGTTTTATGATTCTTACATCATGATTCATTTTCTCACAGGATGTTTTTTTAAATCTTAACACAATTTCTTTTAAGAATGTTACATCATAATTTGGTTTTCTTTAAGATTTTTTATTAGAATCTTTCAAGATAATTGTGTTGACTTATAAGATTTTCCTAAAATACTTATAAGATTTTGTTTTCTGCTTAGGCCTAAGAGTTCTACTAAGAAATTCATTGAACCAATTTGTTTTGAAACTTTTGTCGAATCGAAATCTCGACCAATAGGGCTTTGCTATGTTACCACACTGACACCGAACGCGCCGTCTGTAAGGTAGACAAAATTGGCTGTAAAAAATTAAAAATAGACCCTACGCCGCAGTTCGTTTCCACTTTTTGAGATTGTTTGTTTTTATTTTCTAGGTTAAAATGAATGAGGAGCTGGAGGTGGACAGAAAAGGCGACATCAGAACCAGAGTCGAACTGGACCGAGAATCGCTGGACTGCGTCGAAAAAGAATCGCAAAACGGAAAATGCGTCATTTCATCTTTAGTATACTGCCCCAGTCCATTTAAGTCCGAAAATGTTTTGATCGAAGTGCTGGACAAAAATGACAATCCTCCCTCGTTTAGTAAAAAAGAAGCGCAATTTTCGATGCCTGAAAATACACCTCAAAACACGATGTTTGCCTTAGATGTAGCAAGCGACCCAGATTCGACAGAAAATGGCGTGAAAAGGTACTGCGAACTACAGATAATTTTTCTTTGGTTCGCGAATAGTTCCAGGCATTATATGAGTACATAACTTGAACTATTGGACAATTATTGATTGTATCCTATATACCAAATTGACCTTGAATGCGAGGTTGTTTCATAGAAATTGGCCAAAAAACATATGCTTTGAGAACCAAATCATTCGTATAAGACCTCTGAGCATCCAATTTTTTTTAAGTTTGGCTTAAAAAACGTACTTAAAAGAACTTACAAGATTTTATATGCAACTTTGATCTTCCAATTTTTTTTACTCAGATAATACTTCTGAAAGAATTGTTAAATTTTTTGAAAGACTCGTTATTTTGTTTATTGTGAGTTTCATTGTATAACAGTATGTAATTTTTGAATTTTCAATTATTCAGGTACTCTTTGGTTTGTGAAAACTGTGACGAAGACTCAGAGAACACTTTTCGTCTGGTAGATGACGAAAGAAGAAGCACGGATGGTGCCATTCTGCCCAAAATAGAACTGAGACAGCCACTGGACCACGAGGAGAAGACGCTTTACGTGTTCTCTATAACCGCATTCGACGCCGATGGTCAGTATTACTTTTCGGCATAAATCAATTTAGATAGGAATTTAATTAAATAGATGTTAGTGCTTTCGTTCGTAAAACAAAACAACTATATTGAATCCCTATGAGTACAAGTAGCGCAGAATGTTCTGACCATTTTTTTCTTTTTTTTTTCAATTAAAAGTTGTTTTTGTTTTATGTTGTGATAAGAGAACTAATTGAACGCTTAGACAGATGGTGAATTAAGCATAATCGACAACACCTATTTTCGAAAAAAAAAAATCTTTTTTTTTTTTGAAAAAAGTATCTAGCTTTTTTGCAGAATTTTTTTAAAAACTTTTTATTGCCAAGGAAGCGCAAAATGAAGATGAAGCTTTAAAAACTAGTTTTCTTGGAGTAAACCTAAGTTCTTTCAAACATGTTTTTCTCGACACTTTTCGAAAATTTTCTAAGATTATTCAAATCTCGACTGAAAGGCTTTAATATGATATTTCTTTCGACCCGTTCCGATGATTACTTGTGGCAACTGTTTTTGGTTTTATGAATCACAGGGTTGTACGATGATATATTTTTCGATTCGTCATTCCGATGATTCTTTGTGATACCTGATTTTGCGTGGAAACGAGAAACACACAAAAAATAAAGCACACTCGAAGACAAACGGTGGGAACAATAAATCATGTTGCATCAATGTAATTGTGTTTTGTTTTATGAACTTATTCAACAAAATTTATTTCATAATTCTAGTCTAATTAAACTTATTTCAAAGATTTTAAAAACTTTCAATTAAAAAGTTTGCGCTACATAGTGGCTGCAAAATTTTTTGTTTTATTTTAATAACTTGAGCAACTAACAATTCGAATCGTCTTTCAATTTTTCTGAATAGATTTTGAAACATTTATCGTTTTCAAACCGATCATTCAAACCGAGTTTAATTTAAAGTGTTTGAGCCTTTCGAAGATTGAAATGTTTGAATCAAAATCAAAGATTCGAAAGTTCGGGTAAAAACGATGTAATAGTTAGTATGGGTCATAGAAATTGAAGTTTTATAATATTTAAACTAAATTTTACAATTTTTCCGCAGAGTGATAGCAGTTCAATTAAAACACACTCGCAGTTAAGTGAAAATTGCAATTTTTTATTCTAGACCAGTCTGACTCTTACACGTTGAAAATAGACGTCACTGACATCAATGACAATGCGCCTATCTTTTCCCAGTCGACTCTGAAGTCGACTATTCCGGAGGATCAGCCAGTCGGAAGTGTGGTCGGAAGTGTCGAGGCACATGACCTAGACAGTGGAAAGGTTGGTTAGGTTACATGGGTTGGGGGGGGGGCGTGATTTAGGCTAAGGATGGTGGGATTGTTGAGTCGTAAGATACCAGGGGATGGAGGATCTTTTCATCACCAAAATTGTCGAATTCTGTACCACCCACCAGCCTAAGTTAAAGTCGTCAAAGAGGTGTAGCGGGTGTCAAAATATGGGTCGCCCAGTTTTTTATGATTATTATTAATACTCTATTTTAGTGTCTCATTTAGTTACTTTTATAAAAAAAATTACGCTCAATAACCTCAATAAAACATAAGTTAAATAATTGAAAATAAAAGAAGAAAACTGACTTCGTTTCTGATTGGTTTCTGCTTTCAGAATGGAGAGATAGAATACGGGTTTTCGACCCAAGAATCGCTTCCTGAAACAGTGCGCAGCTTCCAAATCAACTCGACAACGGGTGAAATAACCCTAGTTCAGAGTCTGAAAAACCAGGGCGGAAAAGACCACGAAGTTATTATATACGCTAAGGATAAAGCTGCCAGTCCTTTAAAAGACGAACTGACTTGGAAATTCTCAATTTTGGAGAAAAATGATTTTGTCCCGCAAATAACTTTCACTTCATTAGAAAACACCGAAGACTGTCAGATTCCGGAAAATAATGAAATCGGACATGTTATCGGTTACTTTGAAGTTGCCGACAATGACGAAGGCGAGTTCGGACAAACCGAGTTCCGAATGGTGAACGGAAGTAATTTGTTCACTCTAAGCGAACAAAATGGGTTCTATTTCTTGGAGTCGCTAGTTCGTTTTAACCGCGAGGAGATAGCTAGTTATGTCATAACTGTCCGTGCGTGGGATTGTCGTGATGCTCCTGCGTGCGACAGGCTTGAAACTATAGATCACATGCTTTTCACGGTCTGCGACGACAATGACAACCGACCTGTTTTTGAGCAGAAGGAAATTAAAATAACCCTGCAAGAAGAGGAACCCCCGGGAGTTTTGGCCCAGTTCCAGGCGTTTGACCGGGACGCCGGACTTAACGGGGAGGTCCTTTACTACATACCTGAAGTCGACATTTCAAGTTTCTTTAGCATCAATCAAAGCACTGGTGTTGTTTCAAGTGCTAAATCTTTAGATAGAGAACTATTAACTGATTTTGTTGAGGTTCCTGTGATTGCTGAAGATAAAGGACGGCCCGTGAGAAGGGAAACCGGGAAGCTTTTAATCACTCTTAAAGATATAAACGATAACGCACCGCGGTTTGTGAACCCTCCGCGGTTCCTGGAACTATTTGAAAATGCCAACCCGGGCGCAGTTATTGGTACGATCCAAGCTGTTGACGATGATAAAGCGAACGCTAAAATTATTTATTCTTTGAGTGCAAACTCGTCAGAAAATTTCGCAGTTGCAAAACATAGCGGTCATATAACAGCCTTAACTAAATTCGACTATGAAAACGAAGAAACACGAGAGTTTACGGTGTGGGTTGTAGCGAGAGAAGAAACTGACGAAGCTTTAACAAACACGCTGCCTTTGAAAATTGAAGTTATCGATAAAAACGATAATTATCCAACGATTGATTCGATCGAAGAAGTTGTCGATATACCATGGGACGCGGATGACGGATACGAAGTCACCAGAATCATCGCTCACGATATCGACTCCCGAGAAAATGGGCGACTTAACTTCGTGTTGCGAAATGAGCGCGACCGGTTTGATATCAACCGGAAAACTGGGGTCATTATGGTCCGAGAGCGACCCAATATTTATAAAGACAAAGACGCTACTTTTCAGGTTCAAGTTGAGATCCAAGATAGTGCCTCGCCTTACCCTCTGTCAATTGACACATCAATATACATTACATTCACTGGAAACGTGACTTTGTATAATCACACTGAAATAAGCAGTATCCGTTTCCCAATGACTTGGAATGACATTGAGGGGCTCGTTGTTTACATCGCTTTAGGAGCTGTTTTGTTCGTTATTCTGATCATTTTAATCTGGGTGACGCTAGTTTTTAAGTGCAGACGCAGTTCGTATAAAGACCACAGAGTTCAAATGAGGTCAACTTCGAAATTCATCATGGAGCAAGACATCCAGTACAACCATTCCAATTCCAGCAAGAGAGCCTCGGCTCATTTTGGATCCAACTTGAGAAGTCAAAATGGAGGAGGAGGTTATGGGCCTCCAGATGGAAGTGTGGCTGTGTACCTTAGGGGTCCTATGGGGGACGGGGATAACCACCCGAATAGCAGTAAAGATGTCTCCCCCAACTCGGCGCTTAACGATGACTCAGTCGTATTTGCAAACGAGATGAACACTTCAAGTAAGTAAAAACAAAACATTTGGTTTTTTACCTTGAACTGAATGACCTGTGACTGAAATCAAAAAAGTACGACTGAACGAATTGTATGCTTACTTTCATAAAGTAATCTGTTTATTATGCCACAAAATGCTTGGTTTCGTTTTTTTTCAAGACTTGGGTCTCAAAATTTATTGTAATATGTCTAAAAACAGGCTTGTTTTTAAGTCTCAAACAACATTTTTTGCCAACTTGAGCTGTTTGTTGTTCTTGTTTGTTGTTACATGTTTCACTGTATTTGTCTTTTGGTAGTTGACCTTTTGGTTAACAAAACAAAATCTGCTATGAATTTTTGGATAATTTGAATAGATGTTTCTCATACCAGCTGGAATATTTGAACTGCGGGTTAATTGGATCTGGCTAACTTGGTGGGTTTTCACAGCTGGCTTTGTTCATGTCTAATGAAATGAAAACACCATACACCATAAAAGCCCAACCTCTCTTGCAGTATAACATGAAAATGTCTCTTATAGCTTATAACTCTATAAGTCAAACTTCCTTCTCAAACAGTACAAAGTAGATTTATAGCAGCAGAATTTATTTTACAACTTTAGATTTCTGTAGGATTCCAAAATCTTTTCCGGCTGCAAAGTGTTTTCAAACAGATTTACACCAAGTTTTGACAGTTGAGAAGTAAAACTACAGGTTTGAAAGGCCATGAATAAATATATGACTTCGCATTGCTTCAAAAGTTTTCACAAGTTACAAAATAGTTAGTCAATTCCGTGAAATAACTTTAAGATCTTTCTTTTAGCCCCATGAAATAGCAATTTTGAAACACTAGTAAAACATTTTCCTCTCAAAATAATTGTTAATTAATAAATAACATGAAATATGCCTTATGACGCATTTAGAAAACTGACGTTAGATATTGACAGGTTTTTAGAAAAAATGTATAAAAAATATTACCATGTAGGAAGTGACTATTGAATAGCATCAAAAATTGTGCGACTAATGCGTCTAATTGGACCGTATAGATGTGCATTGTAAATTCAAACAGACAGTTGCGTCGAAATTTCAGCGGAAACCAAGTTTCAGAAAAGGAATTTGACGTTTCTTTCCAAAATTTTTGGATGAAATTCAATTTATATCACTTGTTTTTTTTCAGAATTTAATTTTGTTCGACAAAGGGAGGAGAACTGCACGTTGAAGTTATTTTTTTTAATTGAAGTGTCAAGTTTGTAATTTTTGAAAATGGGCAGGAACTTTGTATTCGGGTGTGTTTTTTTCTTGTTTTCCACGCAAAATCAGCTACCACGAATAATTATTGGAAAGGGTTGAGTGATATATCACATAAAGGCCTTTTCAGTCGTGATTCGAACCACATTAAGAAATTTCTAAAATTTTTCCAGTGTCGAGAAAAATCGGTTTGAAGTTTTTTTTTGTCTTTATTCGAGCGAATAAAGCAAGCGAGCAGTCTTTTTCTGTTTTGCTCGCAAAATCAACCACCACAAATAATCGTCAGACTGGATTAAGTAATTTTTCATATTGAAAGCCTTTCAGTCGTGGTTCGAACGACATCAAAAAATTTCAAAAAAGTTTTCCCGGTGTCGAGAAAAACAGGTTTGAAATTTTGGATTTTTCGTCTAATTTCGAGCGAGTGAGCAGACTTACATCAGCTTATTTATGCTTAATCTAAACCTTGAAATTTTAGTTTTGCTCAATGAAGTTAGTTTTTGGGCTTCTTAGCTTTATCTTAGGAATCAAAAATTTCGGGAAAAAATTTCAAAGTTATAAAAAAAATTATGATTTTTTTCTTGTTGTTTGTCTTCAAAAATTGTTTTACATTTTCTATATTGTTTATGACTCGCGAAAAAGCCGAAGTTTTACTTTTTCTCTCAGATTCCTTTATCACACCAAGACGAAAAAACGACACTAATTGCGAACAATTTTTGGATGAAATTCAATTCATATCATTTGTTTTTTTTCAGGATTTAATTATATGGTTGAAAAAGGGAGAAGAACAAATCGTTGAAATTGAAAGTTTTTTTCTAATTGAAATGTCAAGTTTTTAATCTTTAACTATTAAATATAAATGGGCAGGAACTTTGTATTCGGGTGTGTTTTTTTCTTCTTGTTTTCCACGCAAAGTCAGCTACCACGAATAATCATTGGAAAGGGTGGAGTGATATATCATATTGAAAGTCTTTCAGTCGTAATTCGAACATCAAAAAATTTTAAAAAAATTTCCCGGTTTCGAGAAAAACCGGTTAGAAATTTTTAATTTTTCGTCTAATTTCGAGCGAGTGAGCAGACTTACATCAGCTTATTTATGCTTAATTTAAGCCTTGAATTTTTAGTTTTACTCAATGAAGTTAGTTTTTGGGCGTCTTAGATTCACCTTAGGGATCAAAAATTTCGGAAAAACTAATTTTTTTCTTGTTATATATCTTCAAAAAATGTTTTGCAATTTGCATATTGTTCATGACAGACGAAAATGCCATGCCTAAGCTTTACTTTTTCGCTCAGATTCCTTTATCACACCAAGACGAAAAAACGACACTATTTGGAAACATAATTTTGTTGTAATTTCTTAAGACTGGTCGAAACATTCTGCGCTACTTGCACAGTAACCGGTTATCCTTGTTTCGACATGCTAATTATTTTTCTTTGAATTCCAATGTCATTTTCAGGGACATTTTCATTGTTTGCGTAAGTTTGCAAAGCAACATTAAAGTTGCTCTTGATATTTATATATTCTAACAAACCGGGTGTAAAGAACTCCAGGAAATCTTGGTACTCGTTTCGGATGATTTCCTATTCAACACAAACAGCGCAACTAAAGAGTAGACGAAATAAAGTCTGACAAAAGGAGACATATTATCATAAAATATTTGAAGTTTGCAGGAAACGTGCATTACAGGTGGAGTCTTGTTTATTGTGATTTCTTCTCCGAGCCTAAATTTGGCTTTTTACTTACTTATCAAGACTGTTTTGAATCCATATTCGTTGTTGACATGACTACAACAAACCCTATTTTGACCATTTATTTTACAGTTTCTAGTCGTAAAATCAACTCTTTTGAGGTTTTATTATTTTCAGTTAGCAGAATTAGAAATAATTGACAGATTTCGATAGTAATCATGAAAACCCTTGAAACTATATTAACAAACTTATTGACCAAAACTGAAGGCAAGTTAGTATAAAATATTGAAATGATTAAACCCTGCAAGGACACTGATGTTTATTTACTTCTAGCTGATAAAAACAAGTTCTCAGGCATTCTCAGTAGAAATGATCTGTTATATAAATTAACAGCAAACTTCACACCGTTTCAGAAGTCAAGTCCGACTCCTCTGGAGTCTTAGACTCCTGGATCCCGCTAAGAACATAATTCTGCCGACGCATTATCGCTTTTTGACTTTAGTTTGCTTATCAACCTTAATACCAACGGCAGAACGTGACCACGTGTGAAAACAAGTGAACACTTGTTTCGCAACATGCATGCTATTAAGACCAATGTATGTTTTGGTATACTAAGGAATCACATAGTTTGGGTTGAAAGGGAAAAAAGATAAGCTTATTCATTTTGTTATGGCCAATTTCGTGACTAATTATGCAATGAATATCATACATACATCATGCCATGCATACAGTTTTTGCATCAACAAATGAAAACTTCATATTTAAGAAAAACTTCAACAAATAAAAATCTCCAACAAAAACTTCAACAAATAAAAAACGAAGTACTGGCTTTTGTTGAAAGTATACCAAGTCAAAAAAATGTTTTTTTTTTAACGGCTAAGTTATTTCGTTAATCCACATAGACTATAAGATCGCAAACACAGGGATTTGGGTGTGCTCGGAAAATGTCGACGAAATATTCAAAACCTGATTTGAAAATCCCCCATCGAAAATATCGTAGATCCCCCCCCCCCCCCTGAATGAAGCCGTTGTCGTTTTTTGTTCTTAATGACCTCATGAACACATAATCTTCCGGTGTTTGCGTGTAGTTATTTCCCATTTTGCTTCGCTGGGATTATATCTTAATTAGGCTAAAATAGCTCCAATATGCATCAAAACATTCAATAAGACCCCCAATTAGACACTTTATGTCTTTTGAGAGGATATTTATTTCCACGCCAAACACTGTTTAGCCTAAAGGGCGATAAACGAAGCCCTTTTTACAGCATTTTGCGCCCTCTATGGGCTTTCTCTTTTTCATCTTCAGCCCATTGGTTTCCATGAGCTTTTGCGGCTTTATGTTTCCAAGTGATGTTTTTATACTAATTGGATCCTAAAATTACGGTATTGCCATTCCCTTTCGGTTCGATTGGCACTTTTTTCCAAGCATGATCAACCCGGACTTTTTGTTGTGAAATGTTCACCCGAAAATGACCCAATCGTTTAATGTCAATGACTTTCCTGTCATTTTGAAGAAGAGAGAACCCAAAAACCATGTAATATATTTGCCTCATAAAGTTAAAGCAAAAATGAAAGAAAAAAAAATATTTTTGTTGCACTTTTTTTGATGATTTATAACATGCATGCCTACGTTGCTCAAATTTTCAACTTTACGTAAAGATAAACAAGGTTAGATAATTAGTATAGACAAAACCTTATAAACTTAAAAATCGTTTGGGTTGATAAGTATATCTCTAAAAATATTAAAGTTTCATTTTTTTGTTAAGGGTCTATAAACTAATTTTGAAGGGGGGGGGGGAGAGCGCCGAAAAAAAGCGGTTTTTTGGTCAACATGTTCCAAAAAATGCCTAAAAGTGCCTTGTTTGGCCTGTTTTTGGAAAATCAATTCATCCATTGAAATACGTCAGCAAATCGTCTTCGTTTGTAAAAGTCTTCACAGTATATGGCTTACAGCACGTACAAAAAAATCAGTGTTTGAGAAAGTAGAATTTATTTTTATTCGGCTCTCTTTCAATTCGGCGAAAATAAGCGTCTTCTAAATGATTTTGAGACCTCCAACTAACCCCTCTCGTCGCCCCGTGGCTTTCAAATCAACACAG